TTTACATAGCTTATAGTCATAAATCTTAGTGTGTTGTCGTCGTTTGTTGAAAAAAAATATCGCCATGTTTTGTAAACTTGTCATATGGAATATATTACAAGCGTTCTCTTTCAGTCATTCATGCGCTTTTCATCATTATTATGTACATTTTAATTTCTTTTCGTCGATTAAATCGTATAAATTTCGTTTGTTTTCAATATTTCGCAAAAATTTACCGGATAATTTTCAAAGTATGTATGACATATGAAATGTAAAATATTATTTTATTTCAATATTTATCTACAGATATGCCGAAGTATGTCGAAGTGCGATATTTGTTTGAATTATTATTTCTATTTTGCATTGCAAACACTTCACAATTTGGTTATAATTTGTATAAATAAATCACAAAATTACCTTGTCATTGTTCCTTAATTTAAATTATGATTTTTATTATGATAAAATGATGATTTCAAATTAATTGAATTCCGGGATAATTTGCCAAAAATTATTGATAAAATTCATTTAGTTTACAGATTCAATTTGTAATACAATTATATCACGTGTGTTTATTCCAACATGTTTGCGCAGAAAAATATCAAGAAGAGAGCGAGAGAAACACAGTCAAGTCGTATTATTTTCTACGTTCAATGCGGCAGCATCGCGATTGTATTCACAAAATTAACACGTGTGCCCTTGCTGTGCATATATTCGTTTATTTCGATTAAATAGAGTTGTTTCTTTCGAATATATCTTGTACAAAAAATTCCATTGATTTTCGGTTTTTTAAACCTAGCTTTTTGAATACAAGATAGGTAAAAGTTTTGAAGAAAAAAATATCTGAATGTAATTTTTAATTAGAAATCGATATTTAATATTAAGAAAAATAAGATAACTTTGGTTCTGCTTCATTAATTCTTTCTCTTATTTATTCTCTTTTTCATTTTCACCCGTTTACACAAATTGGCATTTTTTTCTTGATGTCTAATGAACTTCGATAATTCCATCAGTTGCTGTAATTTCTTCATATCTATCCGGATAAAATCACGCGAGTATACGTAGTGACAATTTTCTATTTTTTTTAGATCTAGTCTAGATCTGTCTTTAAAACACGATTTGACCAACATTTTTTCTTCTTTATACCGGAATTTAATTCTTCGCGAATAATTAATTAATAATTGTGACGTTTCAAGATATGAATGTTGTCAATCATAGAACAATCGATTCGATTAATTTATATTATACAAAATCTTGCGTTTCGAGAAAATTTTACATGAAGTTATCATTATATTTATCATTCGCGATAACATTGGAATATTTACGTTGGATTTATATGTGCGCACGTTCATTATGTATCGCGGCTTATCATGTACCACACGTCTGGTATAAAGTTAATAAAACGGAGTAATGAATGATGTCATTCGATTACCACCAGCTCGTTGCACTTTTTTCGGTTCAATAATTAAATTATCTACATCGTATCATTTATTTGATACAGATCTCTTGATTTATACATGATTATTAATAAAATCGATTTAATAAAAGAATTTTTTTGTATTGAAAATTATGATTTTTAATTGAATAAAAATTATGTGCTAAATTTAATTTAGCATTATATAAGTAATATAATACTTATAGTATATATAAATAATAATATTTTATACTAAATAAATTTAATTTTATATCTGTTCAATGGATATTTTGCTATAGAAGTTCAAATTTTAGATTTTTAAAGTTAAATTTTTTTTTCTTTAATATTAGAATTATCAATTTACTATCTAATTTATTTTATATATCTATTTTATATAAATGATTGTAATTAAAATAATTTCATAAAAATGAATAGGTATAATTATATCTTTTATCCTAATGAAATATTAATTTTTCAATAATTATAAAACAAATATTGTTTTAAGAAAATAAAATTTAAGATCCTATTTAATCAAATAACTTTTTTTTCTTTCAATTTTTCATGATCTTTACAAATACTTAGATATGAAATATTTAATATCTGGATATATACAATAATCATATTTTCTTTATTTATTTCTAGAATATTTTTATAAATATTGCAATCAATAAGCAAGCAATGTTGTATAAATGTACATATAAATAGATAATATAAGTATATCAGTAGATCGTTCAACTTTCCAGAAGAGAAGAGAGGAGTCTTTTCATGAATATGAATATTCTTGTTAAAATGTAATAATTTTAGTTTACAATTTCTTCTCCCACAAGATTTTATAATAAATTCAATTTCTATTAGAAATTAATTTATTCACTTTAAATTATGCAATTAAAAAATATTAATAATTTCTCTCTGCTGTTTCGATGAATGATCGAATCGATGTTTCATATTTAATTACCTATTATTGCGAAAAATGATTGTATCATTTGTGAAGAGATATCATAGTAGTTCGCTTATTCGCAATCAATGTTGGCATGGGCGGATGTTGAAGAGAATATTTATTGTTTCTTAAAATTTGAAGAGATATGAAACCTAAATATGAGATATACATTAAAAAGAAGGTTAATGGAAAACAAGTTTCAACGATGTTTGACATTTGCCTTGGAGGCTAATATAATTGGTTATTAAGTGCATCGTATAATAGTATATATCTTACTCTCTAATTTCTTATTATTTCTTAACATGTATGATATTTAAGTGGAAATTTTATCGAACAATTGTAGATTTCACTTTTGTGAAATCTGCCTTTTTCGGAGCGAGTATCGTCATATGATAATTTTGTTTTTACTTACTTTTTAAAACTTTGCAAAACTGTTATATATTATTTTTTTTTTTATCAATATTATGAAGAAAACACAATGATGATTCATTAATTGTTACAAATCAATTGTGAAAATTTTCCCTTTTCCTATTACGCATCACCGGTTTGTTTTATATAATATTATAATAATATAATATAGAAGTGAAATTTATATTTTTCATTTGGTTATGTTTTTTAATCAGTTTAATTAATTCAATTGTGTTATATTTAGACGAATAATTTTTCAAATTTTGCCAATTTATAAAAAAGCAGAAAGACAAATAAAAATATAGGATATTCATAAAAAGCAAACACATCGTTCTGTTTTATTTTGCGTTCTAAAAAATATTCCAAATATTTGCTTTTTTGCTCATTTGATTCAAATACACGTACGATTCTTGCACCTTTTCAAACTTTGATAAAATCGATTTCGAGATGATTTAAAAAAAAAGAAAAGAATTATTAAATTTTATGGAATTTCTTCTCAGGAAGATAAATTCAAATCATCGTGATTGTGTTGATACTCATTCGAGTATTTGTATGACGCAATACAAATATATATATATTAATAATATACGTCGGAGTTAATATACATCGGCCTTGACCATAAACCTTTTTGATAATCGAGTCGATGAGACTTCGATAATTCTCTATTCTTTCATCGCGTTTCACGCTATTATATGTGGACTAAGAAATCTTAGGTGTATTCTTTTTTCTCCTTTTAAATATTTTCAGGAAATCGAGTTCCTCTTGTTTTAACTATTAGCGTATAGGTTTCAATCAAGTTGTCTCATTTTACAATAAGCATCCTGTCTTCGTATCGCCTCGAAGAATACAGTGTATCGTGAAAACGAACGCTATTATATCAACTAATAACTGCGCAACAAGCAAATATCATCTTTGAAAATCAATACAATGACACAACATACGTATAGTAGCTTGAAGTGTTTTAATACCACGGAATATTTAAAATTCAAAAGAAATTTTTGAGAAATTAATTGTAAATTATTATTTTGGATTTGGAGCATTGCATTTCGTAAATTTGATATTAATTTTTTAAAAATAATTTTTGAAAAATAATGTTTATTATTAGATTCCGTTTCATTTGTTCGATATACATATATCAGTTGAATAATATAATTATCAAAATTTTATTCAATATTGGAAAAAATTTTTCGAATTTTTTTGATGACGAATCAAGAATGTTCATTGTCTGTTGATTAAAAAATTATTAAAAAATTTTATATCTAATGGAATGGGATGTGAATAGAATGCACAAATGTAATATCTTTGAGTGAAATCCCATCTCGGAATCGTTAAATTCACGATGTGTTCGATACGGAGTTTGAATGACAAATGAGCCGGAACCGCGATTCTTTCTCTTTTATATACACAGCGATTATTATCTTCGTGCAAATCAAGCACTAATCAAAATTATAATACAATCTTATTGTTAGAATAATTTTCAGCTTTGAATAATTTAATTAAATTTTAGAATTTTTTAATATTCAATTCTTGGAAATTTTATTAACTTTTTTTTAAAATTGATATTATCATATACTTGTATGTAAGATAACTTAACTTTATCATTTTACATATGTTTTTCTTTTATAGAGTCTTGGGTGGAATTGAATCCAGTTCCCGACAGGATAACACCGTTACCGTTCAGTAGTGGAGGTGAAGAATATCTTCGATTGCTTAGAGAAGCGCAAAGAGATTCTTTGCCCTCGTCCGCTAGGCATTCTTTGGCATCTTCCCGTCGAGGCACACCAAGGGATAGGTATTTGCTTTATTTAATCTACTATCGTACCAACGTAAACGTTACTCCAAAATTCAATCTCTTGTTTTCCGATCCCATTACTATTATTTTTATTGCACAATATTACGCAAAATTAAAATGACAAACAACAATTCAAAATAATATTATTTATTACAAAATAAGAGTTTGAAAGAAATTTTTAAAAATTAATTCTTTCATAAAAGCTCTCGAAAGCAATTCAAACAAATGTTGTTTGTGCATTAAGAACGCAATAGCTAACCTCAACGCAATATTTATTAGAAAAAAAATATTCTCAAAAGTTATTTTCGTGCGAGTTCGTTTGAGAGCGAAACTCTCGAAAATTGTACAGGAGAATTTTTTTTTTTTTCCATATATAAATTTTGTATTAAGAGTATTTAATAATATTTAATTACCTTTAAAATTGTCATTCTTAATGTAGGATAAGAAAAATATTTTCAATAAACATTTTCGAGATTTTTATTCCGAAATGGAGTTGTAATAAATATGCAAATGCATTTGAGTTAAAAATTCTTGAGAGTTATTTTTTTGTCAATGATTTTCGAGAATTTTATTTCTAAATATAATTGCATCCTGATGTTACTGATCCAAATTGTTTTCTTTGGGAAAATAAATCCACCCAGTCTTTGAGAAGGACCATTAAAAAAACTCGGTTTGCCTTATCCTATGTATGCGAGCACGAAGGAACTAGAGAAAAAGAGGAGGAGGAAAAAAAAAAAGTAAATAATAAGCATGAATCAGATGTCGGAGGGGGAGAGATCTTTTTCTGGCCGGTTTCTTTGTACTCGTTGGAACATCTCAAGAACCCGTGGATGAAAGAAAGAAAAGGCAAACAGCGCCATGCTCTTCTCATCGTGTCTGTGATCTGTCCTTACAAGTGACTTTTTTTGGATTCCTTTTTTTTTTTGTTGATTTTTTCTGTTGATGTTACAGCGTTAGAAGTATACACGAAATTACACGAATATTTTCTAAATGATACAACAGAATTTATATATTCGTAATTAATTCTAAAAATTAAATTAAAAATTAAACGTAATAAAATTTTATTAATCGATTAAAGCTTGAGATTAACATCGAAACTTCGATGTTAAACAATTAAATAATAACGAATAAATAAATAAGTCATACATCTCGAGATAAGATTTTCTTTTTAAACTTCGTTGTTTTACAAGCTTAATGATATATTAACGTCATGGAATAACTCTAAAACGCAATCTTTTATAATCGATAATAAGGGATAATAAACTTTACATGTAAGATTTCTTTCGTACATGTACTTCTTTCGTACACGTTTCTCTATGATTTTTTTTTTAAAGAAAAAGGAACATCAATATAATTTCACATTATTTACGACGTGTTCGAATTAATGGCGCAGATGTTCGATGAGGTCATCTATTATCATTTGTAGTTCCGCGTGAAAGATAGGAAAAAAAAGTATCATACGATGCGGAGGTCATATGATAGAAAGTAATATACATATATAAATTGATAATATGTCGTGTTTAATTGTCGATAAGAGAAACAAAACGAGACGAAACGAAGGAAAAGGAACGAAAAGGAATATTTTGTGAATTCTTATCATTTCTCTAATTTCCTTATCAGATGTTTGATAAATCTGCTTAACAATCGGAATCTCGAAATGTAAAAACGTTTATAACAGATAAACGAAAAAAAAAAAAAAAAGAAAGAAAAATATATATAAAATTCGTAAAATCTTCTATTATCTTTATTACAGCCCGAAGAGTCCACCTAACAGTCCAAACACGGAACTATCAACCGAGGATGAACTCAAGGGAGTTTACATAAATTATTGCTGCAACAAGGTCAGTTTCATAATTGATTTCTAATATCGTGTGTCTGTTAAATTCACTACGACATTTTTCATAATTTTAAGAGTGCTCGTATTCCTGTTCGTCATTTATTTGCCATGTTAAAGGTTATCGTGAAATCAACAGACCGATTAATCGTATCCATTTATAAACCGAGGCATACGATTCCAAATACTTTCCAATAATAACGCCTATTTTTATAAATTCAATACAACCTTATGAGAAAATTATAATATCGTCCCATTCATCTGGTCGTTGCTCTATTTTTCTCGTGACGCATGCCCAATCGAAGTACTTCAAAGGAGAGACCCATGCAACTGGTTTTATCGAACGAACAAAAGCTCGAGGGGGCCATGCCACTTTCCACGCAAGGTCTACAGATCACTGACTTCTCTGACGGCACGCCTCTTCTTCTAGTATGCGCTGTAGGTCATAGAAGCACACGCATAGAGGCATTTCTACATGCTTATAGTTGCTGTGGGCGTAGAATGCCGAGTTTTTAAACAATCACGAAACTGATAAATACAACGTGGCAGAAATTCGGAATATACAGATTGTTTTATCTGGACGATTTGTGGTTCATTCAAGCTTTGTGTATTTAGCCGATATGAAAATCAATAACGCCTATATTTAAATCAGGCTGATAATTGTATCAGGATCTTTATTTACCCGTGGTTTATCTACCATGGTTTATTTATCCCTCGAACGGAATGTTGTTTTTTTCAACTCTACCCTCGTTGGAAGCTATATCATTAAGGTATATACTTGTTAATTCGTTCGATCACAGACAAAAGTTATCGGTAAAAAGCAATATGGTGTAACGGCACGATATCGACGATGAAAACAACGACAAAGACAATTGTACAGAGGTGGAATGAGTAATGATAACGTGGCGCGAAGAGGCGAGCGTTTTCCATGAGTCAGTTGCTCAACCGTGTTTTCTCTACGTGTTTTCAACAAGCTTCTTTGTGTCCCCCCGCCAATCTTTGTCAAAGCAAGGTCTTTGGAAAGCTAAGCGTCGCCGAGTCTTCTTTGAGGATCTTTCGTTTCTCGTTTCAACCGCTTAGATAATGCATACGAAAATAGAATATCTTAAGAAGCTTCTGTTTCCCTGGCACTCCGTCCACCTTATCTCCGATGCGATACTTTTTTCTTTTTACATTGTCCGCGAACGTGTCGATTCATTCTTCTTCGATCCTTTATTTTTAATTACCGAACACGTTAAATACGCGAGGAAGGGATTAAATCGATGAGAATGAACGCCCTTGATATTCGAACCAAATTCACCTTATTCGAAGAAACAGGGGGGAAAGAGGAGGAAGGAAGAGAAAAATATAATCGTAAAAAATAAAAAGGTTGATTCCGCGTCAACGAATCAGAGCTTGATACGCTAGCTACGCATTACATATTCGTAATCATAGACGCGCATTTGCACTCTGTTACGCCTCGTAATCCACTTACCGATCAAGGATACCTGGATTCGCAGCTATAGTTTCGTACTTTCTACATACTTTATGTACATTTTCTATATAGGGAACCTTGATAAACTTTACCGAGTGTCGTTATCGATCCCGGCGGATGTCAGCAGTGTGGAAAGATTCGAGAATTGAGCCAAATTGAGAAAGTAATTCAATGCATTTACCAAAGGAAGAAACTTATACGAGTATAAAGTTTTACACTGTGCTAGTTCGTTCACCTGAGTTAGTGTTTATCGGTGTTACGCGCATATACACCTCCTCCGTTACGGAGGACAGATCACGCGATCGTGAACGAGCGAATCGCTGCTCTCTACGTTTATGCTTAGGTCTTTTTCATACAATAAGATTTGCTTCGTTAAGTTTAAATCATGCGTGCCGTATATAGAAATTCAATAAAATCTTTTCAGACGATCGTGACACTGATATTTATTTACTCTCGCTCGATTCGTCCGCATGTTTATACAGTTAACAAAACACGAGTCACGACAATGCCTATTATGATAATATATTTTGGAAGGATTTTGAAAGTGATGATGATCTTAGGAGATGATCGAGATGATATTTTTCAGTTGAAGCACTTTCAATAGCCATCGATACTATCTTACATTCTTATTTTTGGAAAACACATACGAACACATTCCTCGAGCGGCGGTCGATAGGTCGAAGATACGAACTGTCACGAATATTGCCGTTCGATGCTTTTACACTTTCTCATCATCGTATCTCGTGCAAATCTATGCTGCGAGTATTATCGCGTGAAAGAGCTCTTATATTTTTCTCATCTCTGGCAAAAACTGGTCCTCTTCGCATTCTAGGAATGGCATACGATTCAAGTTGATGGGGAAGAAGAGAAAGAGAAAAAAGAGAATATATATATATACTTTGATACATTGCGCTTGTGCAGAATTAAATCGGTCGGCCGTTATGCTCATTCCGAAAGCATTCATGCTGTTACGTGGAATCCAGATATGCAAGATGATTATGCGTTATTAGGCAACGTGTTAATGACGATTAATTATTGTATATGAAATTATACGTGATATACATATTTATATATTTATATAATAATATGTATGAAGAATATGAAAAAAAACAAATGACAAATTATATTTTTCAATTTTTTTACACGAGAATTTAAATTGGACTTAATATATTATTTTGAAATTTGTCAAGTTTTTCACTTTGTTGATGAAAAATAGAAAATCAATAAGAATGGAATAAATTCAATAAAAATATAATTCCAAACCTGTATCAAGATTCCAAGATTTCAATATTACGAACATATAATGAAGATAGAAAGTCTGTCTATGCGTCGCAAATTCTTGAAGAAATTTAATATAGAAAGGCGCGAAATAGAGAGTTCGAGATTAAAATTTCTTTCCTGTTTGTTACATGAACAAGTGGATGTGTATTTTAACCCATTTCAAAGAGGAAATTACGTTTTCGAGTATAATTCCATGAATCGCCTTCTAAATCGTGCAAAAAGTTTTTTTTTGCAATTACTTTGTAGAAAGGATTGCAGATGTTCTCCGCTTATTTAATAATTAATAGTAAGTACATTTTGCGTGTTCAATACGAAAAACAGCAAGTGTTAGTTTCAACATACCAATTCGGATGCTGAACTATGCGCACGCGTTCACTATGCTGCTAGTTTATTTATATTTCTATTCTCATTTATTCTGCACGAAAAGCATCCGTTTCGCTATCTAAAATCTCTTCAACTCTATTCCATTTCGCAAAAAATAGCGAAATAGCTAACTACATTGGAATACCAACGATTTTTTATACCGCATAATCATTCATCGACTTTTAATATTTTCGCCAAGCAATTAACTCCTAATTAAAAAGAGAATTAGATTTCGATTTGATCTTTGCTAGATTGCCTCGTCACTTGCGATTGTGTTCAAAAAGATCGCCATTAAATGAGTCGACATAAATCGATTGTTAATCGTTCCAATCATTATTTTCCATTTTTTCGAATACAAAATATATCAAGGATTTTAAACAACGCTCGTCGCTTATCGTTATGATACAACAATTCAGCGAACTCGAATCTGAGATGGAATAGATAGATTAGAATAAACGATCGATTTCGACGTTAGAAATGAAGTGATTACAGAAATGAATAATTGTGTTATTTCCTTCAGAGTTTCTAAATCATTGATTCTTCTCCAGTCTGGTAACAATTGGCTATAAAGTAAGGAAACGATCCGGCAGGCTTGGAAATTCCTTTCTGCTATATACAATACAAAAATTATCATGATTATTCATCCTTTTCTCGTAGAACATCAATTTAATGCAGATTCATGGGATGCAAAAAATACAGCATTCAATTAAAGAAGTTTAGAGGAGAGGGAAAAAGGACCGTGCCAATGGTCACGTACACCATCCTCCATGACTTTACAACCTGTGATCCTTGTCACGTATTCCTCAAGACAATGACGATTATTTTCGATATCTCTTATTTTCAAGAAGAGCAAAAGAATGAACATTATCTGAATAAACGTTCATTTGATAAAAATACTCTTTTACCAAATATATATATATATATATTATATTTTGGATTTGAATAGAAGAAAGGCAGTCTTTACTAAATTGTCGATGGAACACGATGGAAATACAGCTGAAACGAAGAATAATAGAGATATATGCGGAAAGTGCAACTCGTCATTGACCCTCTCGAGGCAAAATTGTGGAGAGTTACATAGTATTACATAGTAAAATGTCGTCGGTTTTCTCGCTGAATGAGGTCCGAAACAGCCGGCAGTGGACGTAATTCCCGGTTATTACGTTCGCGAAAGGGAAGTAAGGGACGCACCGAAGAAGAAAGAAACTTGCGGCCAATTGCGGTTTGAAAAGAGCGAGATGAAGCAGGCCAGGCCACTTTTCAACCGAGTCGTTAGCGGTCGAATGGTAAACCAATTCGAAACCATGCCGAGTTGCAATATTAACTTCGTGCGCGATAGAGAAATGAATTCGTCGGAATTGGCTAATGGTCGCTAGACAGTCGCCATTTCTTCGAGACAAAACATGCATGACCTAGTTTTCTTGGATCGTATTTTACAATAGTTTTTTTGCGGCTCAAGATGTCGTAACCTCCTTAAAATTGAATTTTGATGCGTAATTTTATTACGGTCTTTTATTTCGTCATACTCTACGTGCTCTACTTTCGAGAAACTATTACAGTCGAAGCGGAGAGGATTGATTTTTAAATTCGTACGTTGGAAATTCGAAAAACGGACACTTCCACAATGTGTGAATTACGTTCTTCATTTTAAAAGAAGAGA